TGACGTAGAGCGAGACCGTCGAGTGCACAGCAACGAGCGAACCTGCAGGGATCTCCTGATTCCAGGACGGGTCGACCTTGCGGCGCTGAGTGAGCACCTCCTCGGGCTTGAGACGCGATTCGAGCGGGGTGTCGCGCTTGAAGTTCGCGGTCGAATTGAAGACAGGGACTTTGATCAAAAGATAAGCAACGAGGAGCAACGGTGAGCGAGTAGCAGTTGCATACCTGAGTCCGTTCCCTCCCGCGGCCGCCGCGTGATTGACTCGTGTACGACGTTCCGCGGCATAGCCTTCGGGGTCTTGGTGAGGAACTTATTGCTGAGAACCGGCTCTGAGAGAACATCAGTGATGTCGTAGCACGGGTCTGAAAGCGCAAACTTACTCTTCTGCTCGGGATTCCCCTCCTCGTCGACGGTCGCGTGCTTCGTGGACGCGGCGATAGCCCCGTTCTCGTTGACCGGGATGGTGCACACCTTGCCCTTGAAGATGCCCGACGCTACTGCCTTGGCGCGTTCCCACTCCTGAGTGAGCGGATAGAATGTGATCTCCTTCAGAACGCGCTTGCTGCCATCCGGGAGCTTGTAGGAGCGGCCCTCAATCAGCTTACTCGTTTCCACGAAGCCGAACTGGATGCAGTCGGCGAGCTCGCCAGCGGGCGCATTCGCCGGAGCGATAGAGGAGCCGTTTGCGAAATTCTTCTCGACCAGGACGGGCTTGCCGGTGCGACTGAGGATGTACATGTACGCGGTCGTGATGCAGATGAGCGTGAGGACGCCGACGATGAGGCTGCGCAGAACAGAAGTTAGTATGTGGAAAGCTAGAAGATCTGAGTTGCGTACTCCATGTCGTACTTGTCGCCGAAGATCTCCTCGTCGATGCAGATGCCCGGGTTGGCTGTCTGGACCATGTTGCTCTCGTTGAACTTATCATGCCTAGAGAGAATACAGTTAGTAAGGCGCGGCAATACTGGTCATAGGACGTACACTTCAGTGTCGAGCCCAAGGTAGGTGCCCAGCAGCACGTCGCTCATGAGCTCGAGCTTCGTGACCTCGCAACCGCGCTCCTGAGGCTCTGTAGTAGCCTTGATCTCCTCCTCAGTCATCTTCGCCTTGCCCTTATCGACCTTGTCCGCCTCATCTTCCGCCCCCTCTTCCGCCGCCTCATCGAATTCCTGAACTTCGTCCTCCGCCTGCTCGGCGGCCTCCTGTCCTTCCTCCTGGTCGTCAACCGCGGCGGTGGTCTTCGAGTTCCTCTTGCTCTTGCTCTTCGCGGCGGCGGAGGACTTGCCCTGAGGCTTAGCAGGCGGCTTGACGTTCGCATTGGTCGAGGTCTTGCCCTTCGCGCCGGCAGATGACTTGGTTGGGGGCTTGACGGACGCCTTGACCTGAGGCTTTGCGGGCGCCTTGGTCGCAGGCTTAGCGAGCGCCTTGACCTTCGCATCGGCAGAAGGCCTGACCTGCGGCTTAGAAGGCGCCTTGCCCTTTGCTGCAGCTACCTTGCCGACGGCCTCGACGAGAACGGGGGTCTGATGGATGAGTCGGTCATGAGTTCTCATCGTGTATAGTAACGAGAACGCGAGAGCTTACCTGTGCCTCGATCCCCTCAACGTTGAGAACCTTGCGCCGGCGCTGAACGCGCTTACCCTCCTCGGGCTGTTGGGGCTCGACGGCCTTGGGCGGCTCGGGATTCTTGGATACCGGCTTATCCTTCTGACCGGCGCGGAACGTGAGCGTGACTTTCTTCGCCGTGTGACCGACGGCCTCGATGGTTTTCGGAGTGGTCGTAGTGACAGTGCGCCTAAACAGAGAGTCAACACAGAGCAGTGAGGATAAGATGACAGCCCGAACCTCTTACGAGCCACCGGCAGGTCCTCGGCGTCTGAGAGAACAGCGGCGGACCTGAAAAGGAGGTTAGAAGCTGTAGGGCGTACAGCCAACGAAGCGACCGACGCAGTTGTGAAGGTGACACCCAGTCACATAACACACTACGCCGGCCATTCCGTGAGGGGATTAACGCACCGTTTGTTCTTGCTCGTTTTGACGAGCCCGGAGATCTTGTCCGGAAGTTCAGGGCTAAGGAGACGTCAGCTACTGGGACAGCGAAGACAACATACAACGCACCTAGACGACTCCACGGCCTCGGCCATATTCTCGTCCCCATCCTCGGCCTCGTCGTTCGCGTCGGCCATCAGATCATCGGTACCCCCGTACTCCGACTCCTCCGGCTCGTTGTTGATAAACCCCTTGACGTTGCCGTCTTCATCGGAGTCGTCGTCTGCGTCGTCGCCGCCCTCGTCGCCGTCCTCATCCTCCTCCTCCTCCTCCTCCTCCTCCTCCTC